ACTTGTGTATTCAGGAGGTAAATCTAGGTTAGTCACGTATGAAGTCAAACATTGGCTTTGAAAACCTCGGCGCTGGTTACTGCAGGGGATAAAAGAACAAGCAGATACATATAAGAACGCAGCTCGCTCATTTCATCCCAGCTCTGTGCACTTCTGCTGAACCCACGGATAGAATATTCCCCGCAACTGACACGCCTCATACTTCCAGCGCACTCACGCATGCTGTCATGTAGGTGTAAAATACCTTGATAAGCAGATAAGGGAGGCAAAGTGGAAATTCTTCTTGATGACAAGCTGGATCACGTGATTTAAAGGGAATCTGTCAGGACAGAAATAAAGGAGCTTCCCCTGATGACTTGTGCATGCTCTGAGCTGTCATCCTCATCTCCATTGTGAAGGTCAATGTCCTGGAACAAGTGTGTTCTGTGTACTACTTCGGTGGAATGTAATATTTATTATTATTATTATTATTACACAGGACTTATATAGCACCAACAGCAGAAGCGTCCCTAGGGTTGGTGTCACCCAGTGTGGTAACACGTGGTGTCACCCCTCCAGAGAGGAAGGAGCGGTGCCGGTGTAGCGGTAAAATGAGTATCCCGGACCCATGAAGATATGTATCCCCTGAACTGCGCATGTGCTGGTTTCAGGCCGAAGAAGCCGATCGACCTATACAAGGTTAACTAATTTTGCAACCCATAGTGATCCGCAGAATCAGCTTCAGCGGTTTACAGCCTGTAAGGGGTCAACTGTGGCAGCTCTGTGCTAAAGTCGGAGATCGGCTTCTTCGGCCTGAAACCGGCACATGCGCAGTTGCTTTAGGGGATACATATCTTCACGGGTCGGGATACTCATTGTACCACTACACCGGAGGCAGCTGTCACTGTGCCGGGAATCCAGGATCACCCCAATAACTGGCCAGGACCTTCACAGAGCCCAGAAGCTCTGCTGGCATCCTGCTCCTGCACCCCCTGTGATGGTGTCACCTGGTGTGGCCCGCACCCCCCTAGGAACCCCACTGGCCAACAGTTTGCGCAGTGCTTTACAGAATGAAGGTAGACATTACAGTTACAATACAATTTGGTACAAGAGGAAACAGAGGGCCCGGCTCAATAGAGCTTACAATCTAGGAGGAAGGGTTGAGTGATACAAAAGCTAATAGCTGTGGGGGGGATGAGCTGATGGAGGAAATAAAAGGCAGATTACTAGTTAGAAGCAGGATAGGCTTCTTTAAAGAGAAGGGTTTTCAGGGGTCATCTAAAGGTGGCTAGATTAAGAGATAGCCTCACAGATTGGGGTAGGGAGTTCCATAGGACAGGAGACACTCAGGAGAAGTCCTTGAGGCGAGCATGGGAGGAGGTGACAAGGGAACTAGAGAGCAGAAGGTCTTGGAAAATAGTCTTTTCACTTTGCAGTGGGATTTTCCCTTAGCTTAGTGAATGTGGCGAAAATTCCCTATGCAAAGAGTACCCAACAACATGCAAGGAAAACTAAAAAAAAAAAAAAAAAAAAGTTCCTTACATGTCATTGGATGGCGGAAGTCACTAGAGCTTCACCTCATTCACTACGCTAAGGGAAATTCTTCTGCAAAGTGAACAGTCTGATTTTAGTAAATAAACCGCAATGCCTTGAAATACAACACTTGCTTAGGTTGTATAATACACGTCCTTCGCAGAAATTGGCGCCCAAGGCCCTGTTGACTCCACAACACAACAAAAAAACAAACAGAAAACATAAATAGTATCAATTCATGTGTACTACAAATGTATTTATTTTGAGGGTGTACACACACTGGGCATGATTGAACCGACCTGTGCCTGAATTTGATTGCCCCCCCCTTCCCCACTGGGATAAGCAAGCGTCCTGAGCACATTCCCTTTATCACCTCTGCCAATCAGACCACAGTCATCGCTACTTCTGAGATCAGTGATCCATGGAAGGTTCTGTGCTCAGGTATTGTATGCACTCACACTGAAGCGAACCATGCTGGACCACAAGTGATCAATGCCCAGGACCACCTCTTCCAAATGGTCCTGAGCATGGGACACCTAAGCCCTCATGTACACGGGACATTTTGATAACGCTGGTAACGTTAGCTGTGTAAAGTCACGTTAAAAACGTGAGTTTTTCAGCTTTTGTTAGTGTTTAGCGGCGTTTTGCCACATTTGAGTTTTTTAGTGTTTTTTTTTACCAGAAAAAAAAAATTTTGGTCAAAAAAAGTATGAAAACGCCGGTTTGCTGCGTTTTACCGTGATTCTCAGCGTTAGAGCATTTTTACAGCTAAAAAAACTCCTCTACAAACTCACCAGTCCTGGGTTTTTTTTTACAGCCAAAAAACGTTGATTTCAGTCTGTGTGTGCATGGACACCTAGGATAATATGCTGGGGGGTTTACTGGCTGTAGAAAAAAAACTTCAAAAGCCCAAAACTGCCGCAGTAAAAACGTTAAGTGTGCATGAGGACTAAAGCAGCATTAAACCCAAAAGCAATTCTTAGATGTGGTGGCTGCATTAGTTTCCTTTTTAGGCTTTCTTTCTTCTATTTTCATCTGGTGAACCAGCCAGCAAGTCTGTTTCTTCTCAGAAGCTCCAGCTCTCTAGCAGAATGTATCAGTTTACATGAATGAGACAAACCACTGGCAGGGGTGATTAAAAAGATCAGTTTTTTTTTCTATAACCGATTACAAAGGGGGAGCTGGAATTTGGTTTCAGTTTGTTATTGTATTCAAATCTGCTAATATTTTTGTTCTCATATCCTCAGACAATTCTTTGCTGCTCATTTTCTTCTCCAAGCTCCATGTGACACACAGAGACACGCAACAGAAAGGATGAGTCAATTTTTCACCGTTTTAAGTGGTTGTTGGTGTGCTTTCTATTTTGTCAGCACCTGTTAATTGATACAGGTGAGTTTAATTACAAATTACAGGCGCATCACAAATGTGGAATGCAATTATTTCTTTCAGTTTTGAGAATATGTGGCAATCATTTTGTACAGCCTGTTTCTCCACTGCTTTGTGTCATAGCAATACAAACAAAAGTAATAAACATGAGAATGTCTACACATTTGTAAATGCAACAATTTTCTATGCAACGTGGTGCATTATCTGACAGAAATGCAGGGGTGCCAATATTTTTGGCCATGATTGTATCCTGTGAGCCAGCTGTGGCTTCATATGGATCCATGCTATTTACCATACACCTCTTTAACCACTTCAATACCGGGCACTTTCACCCCCTTCCTGCCTAGGCCAAATTTCAGCTTTCAGTGCTGTCACACTTTGAATGACAATTGTGCGGTCATGCAACACTGTACCCATATGAAATTTTTATCATTTTTTGAGACAGATTGAGCTTTCTTTTGGTGGTATTTTAACACCACTGATTTTTGGAGGGTGTTTTTGCTAAATTAATGAAAAAGACTGAAGGTTATGAAGAAAATAATGTTTTTCTTAGTTTCTGTGATAAAATTTTGCAAATAAGTCATTTTACTTCTTCACTGATGTGCTCTGATGAGGCTGCACTGATGGACACTGATAGGCTGCACTGATGAGCACTGATAGACGACACTGATATGCAGCACAAATGGCACTGATGGACACCAATATGCTGCACTGATAGGCACTGATCGGGCTGCACTGATAATCAGGGCACTAATGATCAGTGCCCTGATTATCAGTGTAAATGTGTGCTGTCAGGATTGGAGGTTACCATTTAGGAAGAGAGCACACATTCCTGAAGGGGCTTGGTCACTTGGTCAGTTTGTAATGACATTCCTATACTATGAAGTCGACTAAGGTAACCAGGCTTAGGATTCATTCGTATGTATTAGCGAACCATAATACAGCAACACTGTACCCATAAAAAATTGTTATTTTTGTCACACAAATAGAGCTTTCTTTTGGTGGAATAATCACAACTGAGTTTTTTTTTCTTTGCTAAACAAAAAAAAAAATTTTTTGAAAAAAATGAATTCTTCTGTGTTTCTGTTATAAAATATTGCAAATAAATAACATTTCTTCATAAATTTAAGTCAAAATGTATGCTGCTGCATTTCTTTGGTGAAAATACCCCATTCATGCGAACCGCTGCGACTATGTATAATAAGTTAACAACAACCCTGAAATCGGTCCGCAAAACGCGCTGCAATGTGCAGAATTGGATCACATAAGTGTGAATACCCATGCAATCTGATTCTAGTGCGGACCAAAAAAAAAGGGTCCTGCACTTTTTTGGTGTGGGTGCAGTGCGAATAGAGCCATACAAAATGTACAACTCCAATCGAACCGCACACAAATCGCATGTGATGTGCAGAGGAATGCGGTGCGGTTCCTGTGCGAATCACATGCGATATACCGCACCGCATGTATGTGAACCCAGGCTTAAAGATCCCTTTTGCTTTTTCAGTCGTGCTTTGTATTTGTTATTGACATAAAGACAGGCTGGTGAGTCCTCACTTTTACTAAACATACAAAAATGGCAAGTGTTACAAGGATAGCATTACGAAATGTTCCTTCGCTGACCTTTAGCTTTCATTATTTACCAAAAAAAAAAAACTTCTCTTTCGTAAATGTAAATATTGCACTTTACAATGCTCCCGTTTGCAAGCTGCCCAAATCATTTAAGTGTTACATATGGAATTCAACTTTTTCTATGAGCAAACAATCCTCAGTGGAGTACACAGTGACTATATACATTGGTAATGAGGCTTGAAGGCTAAGTGTCTCTATGGCAGACACCTGGCTCGGGATCAGCGTGAACTGAATGTACTGTATCTAGTAAACAGTATACCAACAAGACGTCATGTTGTTTTGGACCGCACGTCCGTATTGGGATTGCTGGACATTAAAGTGTTACTAAACCCACAACAGTAAATCAGTCTGTATATGCAGTAAAGCATGCTTGTTATACTCACTATGGAACCTAAGGGGTTAATCCTCTGCATTGTATAAAAAGGCTGTTTGATCCTGACTTCTCTTATCCTCCTCTTCTTCCAGTGTCCCCCTCTTATCTCCTGATAAGACATTTCGTGTGGAGAAACTCTGCACAAACTCAGTTTGGTGTGTATTGCTAGAGAGGTTTTTTTTTTTTTGTTCTTGGGAGAGTAGATGTGATCAACGCAGGGCCAATCAGCACTGTCCAGACAGAGGTCAGGGGTTCTGCATCCTCCTAGAGCAGAATGAAAGCTCCTCCAACAAGCTTTAATCAGTGATCTGCTTGACACTGATAGAAGTCACAAGGCTGCTCGAACTGCTGATGAGAAATGGTATTTAGCAGCTTATATTTACTAAAATAATTGCATGTTCGTGTTCTGTGGGAGACCAGATAAAAAGGCTATTTGATCCTTTCTTCTCTGTCCCTCCCCCTTTTCAAGTGACCATCTCTAATCTTCAGACTGAACCATGGGAATGCAAAGCTCAGTTTGGTGTGTATTGCTAGAGAGTTTTGTTTTTTGTTTTTTTTATCTTGGGAGAGTGCATGTGATCAGCACAGGGCCAATCAGCACTATCCAGACTGAGAGTCAGGGGATTTGTATCCTCCTAGAGCAGAATGAAAACTCCTCCTACAAGTTTTAACCACTGCTCTGCTGGACACTGATAGAAGTCACAAGAAGACTGCTCTAACTGCTGATGAGAAAAGGTATTTAGCAGTTTATATTTACTAAAGTAATTGAATTTCCATGCTCTGTACTGTGGGAGGCCAGATATAGTGAATGCAGGGTCTGGAGAGACCAGATATAGTGAATGCAGGGTCCGGGGTTTAGTAACACTTTAAAGAAAGCAAATCACCATTTAACAAGATTTCCTGTGGGACACGTTCGCATCTCCGCATTTTCACCCGGTGCATTTTTTTGGAAAGGGTCAGGGACTTTTCTTAAACGCAAAACGTTTCCTTTTTAGGTTCTATAGACTTCAATGGAGATATAGACTTAAAAGGAGATTACTGCAGAAAAGCATGTAGTGCGTTTTTGTCGCGTTTTTGATGCGTTTTGCACTTTTTGGAAAGGGTCAGGGACTTTTAAAACGCAAAATGTTTTCGTTTTTTGGTTCTATAGACTTCAATGGAGACCCTGCAGAAAAGCATGTAGTGCGTTTTTGCTGCTTTTTTGGCAAGTTTTTGATGCATTTTGCGTTATTTGGAAAGGGTCGGGACTTTTTAAAAGGCAAAATGTTTCGTTTTTGGTTCTATGGACTTCAATGGAGACACTGCAGAAAAGCATGGTGCATTTTTGCTGCTTTTTTGGCAAGTTTTTGATGCATTTTGCATTTTTTGGAAAGGGTCAGTGACTTTTTAAAATGCAAAATGTTTCGTTTTTGGTTCTATAGACTTCAATGGAGACCCTGCAGAAAAGCATGTAGTGCGTTTTTGCTGCTTTTTTGGCAAGTTTTTGATGCATTTTGCGTTATTTGGAAAGGGTCGGGGACTTTTTAAAAGGCAAAATGTTTCGTTTTTGGTTCTATGGACTTCAATGGAGACACTGCAGAAAAGCATATAGTGCATTTTTGCTGCTTTTTTGGCAAGTTTTTCATGCATTTTGCATTTTTTGGAAAGGGTCAGTGACTTTTTAAAATGCAAAATGTTTTGTTTTCGGTTCTATAGACTTCAATGGAGACACTGCAGAAAAGCATGTAGTGCATTTTTGCTGCTTTTTTTGGCAAGTTTTTGATGTTAAGTTTTTCATTTTAATCTGCCTAGCAACAAGAAAAAAAAAAAGAATGTTTAAAAACCGCAAAACGCATCAAAAACGCGACAAAAACACATGTGCAAAAATGCAAAAAAGCACTGCAGAAATGGATCAAACACAAACTGCATAGGTGTGAACCTAGCCTTAATCAGCGCGATTTGAAGTAGCGCAATTTCAAAAATCTGAGCTTTTTTTCCTGATTTCATTGTGACTTGCATTGACTTTTGTTAAATGAATTTGCAAGCCCCAGTGAAATCGGAGGTACAAATCACACTGATCTGCAGCTTTGAAGTCGCGCAGTTTCAAAGTTGCATTCAGTGTGACCCAGGGCTAAAACCTGGAAGCTGATTGGTTTCTATGCAGAGCTGCACCAGATTTTGCACTCTCCAGTTTTAGTAAGTAACCCGCACAGACATGTTTACGAGTTCATACCAGCACAACAGCATAGGGTGACAACCACGGCTCCTTCCACAGATACAGCAGAAGAATGACAGCCATCCAGGGACAGGAAATGTGTTATTATTATTATTATTATACAGTATTTATATAGCGCCAAAGGGTATGCTCAGCGCTGTACAGTAGCAAGGGGGACAGAACATGAGACAAGACAGTAACAATACAATACACGAGGGGTTCGAGGGGCCTGCTCTTTCGAGCTTACAATCTAGGAGGGAGGGGAAGGTGGTACAGGAGGAGATGGCTGTGGTGGGAGGAGTGGAGGAGGTTAGTTGTTAGGTGGGGTCAGGTGTTAGGTGAGGTTGGGGTAGGCTTCCCTGAAGAGGAGGGTTTTTAGGGTGCGCCTAAAGGTGAGGAGGGTAGGTGACAGTCTGATGGATTGGGGTAGGGAGTTCCAGAGGATGGGGGAAGTCCAGAGGATGATGGGGGAAGTCAATCGGGAGTGGGAGGAGGAGACCAGGGAGCTAGAGAGTAGGAGGTCCTGTGAGGAGCGAAGGGCACAGGTAGGGTAGTATTTGGGTATCAGGTCAGTTATGTAGTTAGGGGCGGCATTGTGAATGGCTTTGTATGTCAGAGTTAGCAGTTTGAATTTATCTGCAAGATCACCGGGTGATAATAAAGTAAAATAAATTTGATACAAAAAACAAAGGCAGTCGCCACACCATGCAACTGTAAGCCACAATATATTACATTTTTGGCATTGGGTTTAGATACATTTTAAAGTTAAAACAAACTCTCTAACCCTGGGTCCACACATATGCAGTGCGGTATATCGCATGTGATTCGCACAGGAACGCACCGCATTCCTGTGCAAATTACATGCGATTTGTGTGCGGTGTGATTGGAGCCATACATTTTGAATGGCTCCAATCGCACCGCACCCGCACCAAAAAGCCGCAGGACCCTTTTTTGGGTCTGCACTAGAATCGAATGGCATGGGTATTCATACCTATGCAATCCTATTCTGCACATCGCATCCCAATTTGCGGACCGATTTCGGGGTGTTGTTAACATACACACCCGCAGCGGTTCTCATGAACGGGGTGTGATTCTGATGCAGTGCGGAATTCACACAGAAAATGCTGGGAATACTGCATCGTATCAGAGTGAACCCAGCCTCAGTCACCATCAACTATTTTTAATCTTTATGCTGCTAGCTTTAGTAAATAAATAGCAAGGTATATTATATTTACTTGTTTTAAACTTTTTTTCACATTTCTTTAGCTGCTTCCTGGTTTCTGGCCTAGGCCAAAATAATGTCATTAAACTTATTATATTATATTACTTATTATATAGCACCAACAGTTTCACAGCATTTTACAATATGCAGGAGGACAGTACAATTACGATACGATTCAATTCAGAAGGATACATCCTAGGAGTCTTTATAGGCTTTTGTTTTCTTTCATCTGGAGGAGAGGCTCTCTCAGATAAGCACACCTCCTCCCTGCATGCGTTGGATGGACCGAAACATGATATCCCAGAGGTGTTCTATTGGATTTAGGTCAGGCGAGCGTGGGAGCCATTCAATGGTATCAATTCCTTCATCCTCCAGGAACTGCCTGCATACTCTCGCCACATGAGCCTGGGCATTGTTGTGCACCAGGAGGAACCCAGGACCCACTGCACCAGTGTAGGGTCTGACATTGGGTCCAAGGATTTCATCCCAATACCTAATGTCACTCAGAGTGCCATTGTGTAGCCTGTAGAGGTCTGTGCGTCCCTCCATGGATATGCCTCCCCAGACCATCACTGATCCACCACCAAAACGGTCATGTTGAATGATGTTACAGGCAGCATAACATTCTCCATGGCTTCTCCAGACCCTTTCATGTCTGTCACATGTGCTCAGGGTGAACCTGCTCTCATCTATGAAAAGCACAGGGTGCCAATGGTGGACCTGCCAATTCTGGTGTTCAATGGCAAATGCCAATTGAGCTCTATGGTGCCAGGCAGTGAGCACAGGGCCCACTAGAGGATGTTGGGCCCTCAGGCCACCCCCATGAAGTCTGTTTCTGATTGTTTGATCAGAGACATTCACACCAGTGGCCTGCTGGAGGTCATTTTGTAGGGCTCTGGCAGTGCTCATCCTGTTCCTTCTTGCACAATTGCAGATATCGGTCCTGCTAACGGGTTAAGGACCTTCTACGGGCCTGTCCAGCTCTCCTAGAGTAACTGCCTGACTCCTGGAATCTCCTCCATGCTCTTGAGACTGTGCTGGGAGACACAGTAAACCTTCTGGCAATGACACGCATTGATGTGCCATCCTGGAGGAGTTGGACTGCCTGTGCAAGCTTTGTAGGGTCCAGGTATCGCCTCATGCTACCAGTAGTGACACTGACCCTAGCCAAATGCAAAACTAGTGAAAAACACAGTCAGAAAAGTTGAGTAGGAAAACAAATTTCAGTGGCCTCCACTTGTAAAACCATTCCTGTTTTGGAGGTCATCTCATTGTTGCCCATCTAGTGCACTTGTTGTTAATTTCATTAACACCAAAGCAGCTGAAACTGATGAACAACCCCCTCTGCTACTTAACTGACCAGACCAATATCCCCGGAGTTTCATTGACTTGATGCTATACTCTGATTAAAAAGTGTTCTTTTAATTTTTTGAGCAGCGTATTAGAAAACAGCAGTGGGCAGGATCAGGAATGTAAAACCCATTCATTCAGAAAGTAGGATGGTATTCTGTGAACAGCAAGGACAATTTGGACACGGGGTAGCATAGTGAAAGCAAAGTAACACCTAAAGCTGAACACCAGGATAAGTAAATCATGTCATCATTTATAGGTAAAGTTGATCCAGGGAATATCTGATTGCCTCTCGGGAGATCAGGAAGGAATTTTTTTCCCTGCAGGAGCAAATTGGATCATGCTTTGCTGGTTTTTTTTGCTTTCTTCTGGATCAACTGTGGGTATAGGATGATAACGTTTTTTTTTTTTTTAATGGTTGAACTGGATGGCCTTTTGTCGGTTTTCAGCCAGACTAACTATGTAACTATATCTAAACACAAGAGTCATACGTATTCTTCCTTGAATGTTGGTGTGCCTTGTGTATTTCTTCCCGATATGTACAGTAATCCAGTGTGAAACTTGTGCAGAAGCTTCCTGTAACAAAGACCGGTCAATGCTGCGCTCTTTCCTTCTGCAGGATGACTGGTCTTGTCTCCACCCTCTCCTGTAGTTCTCTATAGCAAGCATGTAGTGGGTGGAGCTTGCTGGGCCCCTCCCACAGCTCTGCTCTCTGCACAGGCTGTGTACAGCACAGTGATAATGTCATTACTACTATAACAAGGTAATCATTGGATTTGTAAAGACATTTGCTGCACACAAAGTTGATTTATATTGCTTTTGGCTATTGAGAAATATATATTTAAATAAATGTTTTTGTGGCTGGAGTTCAGTTTTAATGAGAAACCCAAGGCAAGTAAACTATGTTATGTACAGGGGCGGACTGACCATTTGGAAACTCGGGCACTGCCCGAGGGCCCGGGGTCAGTAAGGGGCCCCATGAGATGCCCCTGGTACCTTTTTCATAGGCTTTTTTGAGTTTGGGCAAGGACACAGGGGCCCATGATCCCCTA